CCCCTGCAGCCTCTATGCCCCCGCCTGCCCTGCTCCCCCGCTCCCCCGGCAGCCTCTGCCTGCTGGAGGGCTTCAGACGCTCGGCAGTGCGGGTCCCTGCAGACCCGGCTGCAGCTTCCTTTCTGCTGCCGAGCACGTTCCCCGGCCTGTCTGTCCCCACCAGAAACAGCTCCCGCGGCGCCGGGTTCCAAGCTGTGCGGGGCAACGGGGCCACAGGAAGGGTCCCCCAGTGGCCGGGGGGTGCCCGCCCACGAGGGACGCCCTAGCCCGCCCCATTCCCAGCCTGAGCATTGTAGCTGGGGCAGCTTGGCTGCGCTGCGGACCCGGCGGATAGTGCTGGGCGGACCCTGGCTTATGCCTCCCTATTTCCCCGGACATGTCCGGCTCTTTGGAAATTCCCGCCGGACGGGGATTTGAGCACCAAAAAGCTGGACATGTCCAGAGAAATCCGGACATATGCTAACACTACCCAAAATGAAGTCCACCACCTGCTCTCCCTGCACGAGGAAGTCTCCCACCACCTTTCCTCAAGGCATCATGGGAGTTGTAGTTTCTAAGGCTAGATTGCAGCACACAGGCTTTTCCCCTGGAACACTCCCAATAAAGTTCGGAGGCCCCTCTAGTAAAGGGTGCCTACATACTTTTCTACATCAAAAGGGTATTGTGATGATTAATCACTTAGCATTTGCAAAGTTGTGTCATTGCCAGCGTAAAGCCAAATGCACACACAACCCTCCAACAGATATGGAGCCTAGTACCTCCAAGACCCCGGTTTCTTTGCAGAATCACACCTTACTTTTTTTTTCAAAGTTGATACCTTTGCTTACAAGTAAGTGTGGTGACCCAAAGAACAATCCCTTTTATCATATAGAATGAATGAGTTAAATTTGGCAGTTCCCCAAAAAGTCATCTGACTAAGCCTCCCTCAAAATCTTCTGACTGGCACTGTTCTTAATGGTGTGGTGATGGTGACCAGGAGTTTATCGTGTTTGGTAGGGCAAAAAATGGTTTCACGGAATTATCCAATACACAAGGTGATCCAGACTAAAGGTGTCTGAAATGTTTGACTTGCTGCTTGATCTGTCTTTTACTTTAATGTAAAAATTACTTTGTTTAAGCCTCAATTTCTTGCTTCCCATTTGAATGAATTATTATTTCTGAGAGATGAGTCAGTTCTACTAAGGCTGCACAGGAACCAGGGATTTATTACGACTCGTACTTCAGCATTTATATAACTCCTGTTTCAGCAAAGCAGGCACAGCTAGCAGAATAGGAAATGGGATCATCCATCCTTTTTTGAAGGATCAAATAAGATGATACATTTTTAAGAGAACACGTGAAGACCATTTGGTCTTCTTACGTATTTATTTCTGAAAATCTTATTTGCAGCATTTTTAATAACTTCCAGTGTCTTATATAGTCTCCTCAGTCTTACCTTAATATAATCTCTTTTATAGGTCTTTCTATGAAGACATGTACTACCATGGTAGCTTTGATCTTGTTGTATTCCATGTATCCTGGTTTTTATGTTGGGTCACTGCTAAAACAACAAAGAAAGCATGTGAAATAAATAAATACAAAAGCTTGGAGATACATATCCAGCATTAAGGCCCAGATTTTGCAAGGATTATACTCAAGTTGAGCAGTATCTTCCTCTCCCAGTAGTTCCACTGAAATCAATTTAATCAATGGGACTATTTGGGGAGTACGGTACTGCTGACAGGGTGCAATTATGGTCCTATTGAAGTCAATGGAAGTTTTGCTGATGAGTTCAATAGAACCAGGATTTCACTCAATGTACGTAAAGCTGGCAGAATCGGAGCCTATCGCATTTGCTAGAAAAAGGGTTGTTTCCCCATTTTATTGATCTGCTTAGGAGATAAGAGATTTAGTCAGCCCCCTCTCGTCATGCTACATCAGGGGTTCTCAAACTGGGGGTCAGGACCCCTCAGGGGGTCACAAGGTTATTACATGGGGGATCGCGACTGTCAACCTCCACCCCAAACCCCACTTTGCATCCAGCATTTATAATGGTGTTAAATATATTTAAAAGTGTTTTTAATTTATAAGGAGGGGTCACACTCAGAGGCTTTCTATGTGAAAGGGGTCACCAGTACTGAAGTTTGAGAACCACTGTGCTACATGTTTTGTTTTACAAATCTAGGATAGAATTAGTATGGGCTGGGATTGGTAAATAGCATTCACAGATCTGTGGTACATAAAGAACTGAGTACCTACACTTCCTCTTGGTAACAATTATAGTTGTGTATGCTCTTTGAAAATTAGGCCCTTGATATTTTTTAAAAAAAGGAAATTTTAACACATTTAAGCATTTTGTATGGTAATAAAAAAGTGCAGTCATGTTACAACATAGAACTCCTTCATCTCTAGGAGTATTTTCACGTGCTGCCAAAAAGGAGATCCAGATTGAAGGAGCTCCATTGAGAAGGTTACTTCATAGGCTGGTTTAGACTGAGCTCTTTGTATAGGACCATGGAGAAGGATTGTTATGGATTCTCTTACTAATTGCTTCAGAGGAGGCTGTTCAACTGTATTCCTAGCTATGAGTGAAATGAACAGACAGCCACTGTGGCAGAAAAAAAATGGATAATAAGCCATAAAAAATGGCAGGCCAAGATAGGTGAAGATTGTCAATGGTCCTTCAGCCTTATCTTCTATTACTAGTCACTAATGGAGGACACAGAGGCACCTTAAATATGAGATCTGTCATTATCAGGGCAAAGGAAGGCAACTACTCTCCCCTATCCTCTGCTATTGAAACAAAGAATAAGTGTTTTTTTGACAAATATATTAAGAAAATATATAATATCTATTGTTGTCACTCTCTTTCCTCAGTTCTGCACACTAATATGAAAGGATAGACCTGCTTGACATATACTCTGGTTTGGTGGGAGAAAATGAGAAGGGGACAATCCGGGAACAAAAAATAAAAAAATGCTGCCTCATCTCAATTATACTGAAAAATGTCATTTACTGAAAATTTTCTATTGGAGAAGAGAAGAGGATGTTTTTCAGGGGAATGTTTGACTAGTAAATTGGGAGTGTATTTTGCTTTAAAGTCCTGACTGTGAAGAAAGTCAAATGGTAGAGTTACCTATTCCACTGTAATGAACTATATTAGGCAGATACAGAACGTGTTAATAATAATTTATAGTAAGAAATAAAGGGGAGGTGTGTCTTATAATATATATATGAAATGAGAATTAAGAAGACATTGTGTGTTTATATATAAAATGTTATCTTAAATCTTAATTATATATAAATATGTTCTTAATTGTCACTTTATATAACACACATATACACACAAATCTATTATAGATATATAATGTTGTCTTAATTCTCAGGGTATGTGTGTGTATAATGTCTTAAGTCTCAGTGTGTATATATACACCTCTACCCCGATATAACATGACCCGATATAATACAAATTCGGATATAACGCGGTAAAGCAGCGCTCCGGGGGGGCCGGGCTGCGCACTCCGGCAGATCAAAGCAAGTTCGATATAATGCGGTTTCACCTATAATGCGGTAAGATTTTTGGGCTCTTGAGGACAGCGTTATATCGGGGTAGAGGTGTGTGTGTGTGTGTGTGTGTGTGTGTATATATATATATATATATATATATATATACACACACACACAC